TATTTCTGGTTTCAATTTTAAACAAGGTGTATACAGAGGGAAGCGAATACGGTAAGAACAATGTTTTGTCAATATAATTCACTGACCATGTCACAATAGCTTTTTATAATGATTTTATACAAAATCATTAATAAAACAAAGTTAAACTTTGTCACATTCACTATCACTTCCATCCCAGACATGCATTCTGGAGGAAAAGCACTGGAGTATTTTGAAGAGGCAAGAAAGCAAGTAGCCCCTCAGCAAAATTCCACCCCAAATAAGAGATAACAACAATTACTTTTCATTTAAAAAGGTAAACAATCTTCATTTGAAATTGTTGCTAAAAACAGCAAAGATCATGTAAATTGAGCGCAATTTTTTCATCGTCTTCCTGAGCGGTCGCAGTGCGCCATATCCCGCAACAAGATTAAGTAAAGTGGGGGTAAGGTAGCCAAACTTTATAAATAAGACAAGGTGGAAATTGACGACACATTACCTGTAAAGCAAAGTAAAATGAGCGCCCTTCTTATTTCTTTGTTCTAACTAATCTCCTCAAACATAGATTAATTAATTAACATCAGGAATGGTTCCTGTAGCTATAGCATCACGAGTAAAAATTGCGATGACTTTAGGAAGCAAACGAACAGTACCTCTGGAGTCGCTGCCGCAGCGGTCTATATTGGATCGTTTTAGCGTAGACCGGTCCATGCAGTAATAGGGTCTATAATTAGCTTTCATCATTTTTTCTCACTACTCCGTTTCGTTGACAATCAGCCATGCATGAAGACTTTTGATAAATCTCTTTGTTTCTACGGCAGGCAGCTATTGAAAACGATTTCGTTTAATCAAATTATGGAAATGCAAGCATTAGTTTAAACAAACAGAACTTTGTTATTCCTGCCTCATTTTTCCTGGTTGAGGTTGTATAGGGCAGAAAATGAACTTCCTAGAAATGTGATTTTTTTTCTTCGAAATTCAGATACCGCCCGCCAAATGACTTTTTGATTTCCTTCAAATTGCTTTTAATCACTCATGCGTGAAATATGCATTATATGAGTTGCATCAAATGAAAGAGGAGGATATAAGCTTTACAAATGTGTGTCATTTATTAATTATAATTGTGATTAATAGAGTTATGATAAAACATCGATCATCATCATTCTCGAATTCGTTTTTTCTGGGACGCACTGTATAAAAATAGATTGAATAAAAGAAAGTCAATCGCCCTTCCCTTCCAATCTATTGAGCGGCGAATAAAGCAATTTATTTGCTTAAAATGAAGTTGAGTTCTGGTCATGCGATTGAATTGTGAAAGAAACGGTGTGGAACCGACCAGAAAAGGTTGATCATCTAGCATATAAGAATTTGTGTGTATTGCAAGGTTCTGGAATCATCAAAATGATAAGAAATTTGGCCAAGTCTTGGTAAAGTTACGTGGCGTAAAAAGCCGCCCCCCCCCGATTTTTACGATGTTACATGCATATTTAGAATATGAAGGCATTTGAAGAGCCATGCTTTTCAGGGAACATGTCTTATCTGATGTTCTTCCACACTTGCATAATAAGAATGAGTAATGCTCACAAATTATTTTTCACCTCTTCCCAGAACTAAACCTTCTCTTTAAAACAATGGGATCATTATTGGTTGGGTTAGGGTGGGTTGGTGTGTTGGTGACAGTTTATGTTCGTTTTGTAAACAGGAAATAGAAACATTCAAAAATTCAAATGGACATCTTCTTGTTTTATCTTCATGTATCAAATTGAAATCCAACTACCACATACATCTGTGAATCTTGATGTACACCCCTCTATTTTCTCTCTCTCTCTCTCTCTCTCTCTCTTTCCCTTTTCACCAATATTGTTTTTTCTCGATACTTGTATTATTATGTATCCATTGAGGGTTACGTAGTCATGCCATCAAGCTTTGCTTACTTTGTCAACCCTCCTGTTTGATGTTTTCGATTAGTTACAGCCAGCCTTACTTTATTCTACATGTACGCTTTTGTCATGTGTAAAATTTGCAATGATTTGTTAAATTATGTTTGTTATATATTTGTGAGACTGCAAAGGAAAATGAAAATCAAACAAAAATTAATAAATCAAGAAAATCAAATCATACATTTATTTTTATCTTGCGTGAGCGTTCAAAGGATATGGCAGGCTTTTGTACAACTTTTTGAGTTAGATGGAATTAAAGATTTAGAATGGCAAGATATATTTGTTGGGTTGGCAGGTAGTTCATATATAATAAACAAAATCTGTAATACTATAATTTTCATGGTGAAGTATGTTATTTTTATGTCAAGACCTGGGAGGGGGGGAAGTAACAACTTTAGAAAAGATGAAGAAACCCATTTTTAATTATACAGATGAGGATCAGAAAATAACCATTAAAATGGGAAAGCTGGGATTTAATTTTCTAAAGGGGGAGCAGCTTAGTGTTAATCAAGATTTGTTTTCCTCTCCACCGTGGGCTTGTTAAGGTTTAACTCTATTTTGCAGCCTGGTTAACTTACTTATATATTACATTTCTTGAGTTGAGAATGTTAGCAGACATCCACTGAGTGAGTAGTGTGTGTGTGTGTGTGTGTGTGGGGGTGGGGGGTGGGGTGTGTTTGTGTGAGGGATCGGGGGGGGGAGGACTTTGTACCAGGTAAAATAACCGCCAGATTTGTTAAAGTTTTTTCTTTATATAAGTGAATAACATGTAAAACTGACTTATAAATATGTTTATGTACTTTAAGTTTATTTTGTTGCTCAGTTATAATGTATAAACAATAAATATTGAAAGCGTATTACATTTGGAGCAAAAAACAAAATTACAAAAAACAAAAAAGTGTGTGATGGAGATGGGAGAGGTGCCTATGTGTGTGTGCGTGCTTGCGTGTGTGCGTGTGTGTGAGAGAGAGAGAGAGAGAGAGAGAGAGAGAAAGAGAGAGAGAGAGGGGGGAAAGAGAGAGAGAGAGAGAGAGAGAGTTAAAGAGAAGAGGGACAGGAGCTTGGGCGTCGGGTAGAGATAAAAAATAAAGGAAGAAAGTGTAGGTGAAAAATAAAAATACTCAGCAGTTCTTTTGTGCCTCTTTAAATGTTTTTTGAAATGCTGTGTGAACATAATTTTATTCGCCTTTCGATAGGGATGAAGGTCATGTGTCCCAAACCCCACTAGAATTATAAATAGATGAACACACGTAAAGTCATACAGAAAGACAGACAGATGAACAGATAGATAGACGGACAGATAGGTATATATTTCATATTCCATCTGTAGTTTTTTTTTTAAGAAAAGAGAATATATAATAACTCGAAGCCTGAACCGCTGTACTTTGCGATGATACCTATGGGCTTAGATGCTGCGGTTTCGCAAGGCAACATTTCCGGTGATACACGATATGGAGCTGCCAATCTTAAATTAATCACAGTAATTCGACCTAAATTAGCTACCATGATATGGCGCAAAGTATGTAAATAAAAGATAATGGTTGTCATTTAGTGATGTAAGATCTTTCTTTTCGTTTTACATTTGCACTGGTCGTAATCAAGATGAATAACTTACATTACTTTCGATATCAGTTCTATTCGCAGCACAATTTATTTCCTTAACCATCAATGTGTTTTGATTTTAAGTGTATCATCAACTAGACTCGTTGTAGACTTACTGTCTCTATTTCTTAAATTGCTCGCATTTGCTCAGTGGCGTATCTGGACCGGGTTAGTGTCATTTGGTTAACAACCAGTTGGTCTACCTATCATTTGGTCTAATGACCATTTAGACTAATAGTCATTCGGTCTAATTTCTATTTGGTATTATCTCTAATAAGTCTAGTACCCACTTGGTCTATTGCTCATTTAGTCTAGACTAATTTTCAGAAGGTCCAATTCCCAGTTTGCCTAATGCCCATATTTTCGACTATTCTTATGGTCTAATGATCCTTTAATCATCAATAAAAATAATCATCAAATGATTATTAGACCTTAAGGATGGTAGACGAAATAAGCATTAGGCAAACTGGGAATTAGACTAAATGGTCATTAGACTTAATGACAAATAGACCAGATGGGTATTAGACTAATTGGATTATGGAAATGAGACCAAAATGACTATTAGCCTAAATGGCAACTAGACCAAATGATAAGTAGACGAAATGATTATTAGACCACGAGGAGGCGTAAATGGACTGGGTGTAGACCATATGAGAAAAGACTAATTGGGTAGTAGACGAACTGCAGTGGGTGTAGACAAAACGGCAATTCACCTCTGGACCAAGGCTTCGAAAGGGAGGGGGGGGGGGGGGGTGGTGGTCGTGAATATCCCACCAATAACGATCCTTGTGTTTGTAGCAAGAGAATTACTTTATTCGGCGCTTAGCCAACTATTCTTATATTTTGTAAACGAATTTGATATCAATTTCATTGTATATTATTTACACCATATATTAACGTGATTAGAAATAACTTGTATTCGTAAGCAAAGGAAGCATTAGAACAACACTTTGGATATTATTCTTACAGCTTTAAATTTGTAAAAAAACGGGTATTTGCAAATCTACTCCTTGTTTTGCAGTATAATATTTAGCATTGTGAATAAGACGACGAAATTATAACATCGAATAGCATTTGAAAAATTGATAACAATTTCATTGACTAGTGTTTCGTGGTAAGCAAATGAATTAGGGGAAGACTGTTTTATTAAAAGGGGTCTTCAAAATAAACGTTTGAATGTATTACCCTGCACACTAATTTGCATTTCCCCGATGATTTCACTTTTTTCTGAAGTTATACTAGCATGAATTAGTTTACGGGGAGCCTGTCTTATTTGTATTAACATGATTAATGTACACCATGTTTTTACAACTATCTTTTGAAAGCATTCTCTTTTGTTCAATTTCAGATACTTTCCAGGTTTTTCTCGTTGATGGATCCATCGCTTCAGAGGGTAGAGTCGAGATCATTTTCAAAGGGAAACGGCTAATTGTTTGCGATGACGGATGGAGTCTGAACAATGCTCGGGTCTTCTGCAGAATGCTGGAGTATGATGGCGCTCTGTCAGCACCGGGCAATGCTACCTACGGACAGGGCTCTGGAAATTACTCTTGGGATAGTGTTGACTGTGTCGGTACAGAAGATCATCTTCTAGATTGCCCAAAAGTGATGGGTGCAAAAGGGTGTACACAAGCCGAGAATGCTGGTGCCATTTGCTACTCAGAAGGTATGGTCTATTGCAGGCGCGCCGGAAGCAGTTTCGGTAGGGGGGGGGGGGGGGTAAACATTCCAGCGGGGCTCACCTTTCAGGGGCAGTGGCGTATACTGAGCAAAAACGTTTGGGGAGGGCATGTAACATGCAGGCCCCGCGGAACGTTTTCAAAGTGGAGTATTAACGATCAGATTAGTGAGCGTAGCAAGTGGAGCATAAATTGGCGTGGGATCCAGGGGCGGGGATCCTGGAAGCTCCGGGGGGTCTTTCGGCAATTAATCTAGGTCAGATGAGCATATTTTGATACCTTATTTGTGACACTGACAGGTCACTAATTGGCAGGGGTCCAGGGGGCGGAGCCCCTGGAAGCTCAGAGGTTTAATTTATTTAATTAAGGTCAGATGAGCATCCAGGGGCCCTCCTTAGGGCCCTTGGTGGGGTCCAGGGGGTGGAGCCCCTGTTAGCTCAGGGGTTTTAGGCATTTGATTACGGTCAGATGAGTAAATTTTGATACCTTCTTTCTTTCTCTAAGTTCTCTCTTTTTCTCTTTAACACACTTTTCAAAAAAGTGAGGAGGGCTCGAGCCCCAAACCCCGCCGTTCTGCAAGCACTGACATGAAGGCTTCTTAAAAGGCATGTTTTTTTGCCTGACTGGAAATTTGGGAATATGTAATTTTCCAACAAACGCATATAAAATTGACACTATAGCCAAATGAAAGCATAATTATGAACAGTACCCTGAACTACTGACAGTTTTTAAGATCGCATCAAAATAATTCATGGGCACACTTCCATTCGATCTAGCTCCTTTCCGCGTTCGCCTTGTCGGAGGAACCTCCGTGACCGAGGGCCGGGTGGAGGTGATGTACGACGGGTCTTGGGGAACCATCTGCGATGATGCCTGGGGCCTTAAAGACGCATCGGTCGTTTGCAGAATGCTTGGGTTTGATGGTGCTTTGGCCGCGCCGGGTAACGCTTCCTTCGGTCGAGGATCCGGCAATGTTCTGCTTGATGGAGTCACTTGTGATGGGTCAGAAGACAACTTGGCGGAATGTTCTCACAATGGCGTTGGTGTACATGATTGCGACCACGGTGAAGACGCAGGCGTCAGGTGCTTCTCTGGAGGTAAGGAGATCCTGCACGGAACTATGAGCGTGTTAGAATCAGATTTTGAAATCTAGTTTTTCTTTTAACATGACATTTTTTGGAATATCTTATACGTGGCAAGACGATTCCAGGTATTGATATTCAATGCATCATGCAGTGGAAATTCAACCTCATGTAAATTACTGATTAATCAGTTTTTTGTGTAAAAGGAATTTGTATGTAGCCCTGTAATCGCAATTATGTAGCACCCACCTGTTACCCGCTCTCTATTTCTTAAGTACGGTTTCTACGATCATCTTTGATGAAAGCTGAATTATTCTAATCCAACAGTCCCCTTCAAAGTTCGTCTCATCGGAGGACCTGACGATTCAGAAGGAAGAGTAGAGATATTTTACGATGGGTCTTGGCAAACAGTCTGCGACAACAACTGGGACTTCAAGGAAGCCAAAGTCGTTTGCCGAATGTTGGGCTTTGATGGTGCATTGGCCGCACCTCGTGCTGCGGCGTACGGCCAGGGTTCTGGCGGGATTCTCCTTGATAGTCTCGGTTGCGACGGAACAGAGGATAAGATAGAAGACTGCTACCATCGAGGGGTTGGCGTCCATAACTGTGAACATGCCAACGACGCAGGGGTTAGATGCTTCTCGGGGACAGGTACGATGTTCCAACTACCCACGTAATACGATTCCTGGCGCAATTAAATTGAATCACATCCTGACCAAAAGCCTAAACCTAATAACTGATAATCATTCCTGTACAAATTTACCTCAGGATAATTAGCTAAGTAAAATTAACCCGAACAATAATTGAGTATCTAGCTGATACTTAGTTTGTTAGATTTTGTTAATAGTTTCAGTGCAGTCTTAACAAATTTTCGAAGCTATACTTGTCTACCAGGACAAGGACGGTGTCATAGCGGGATTACTATCGGGAGGGCGGATGAGTTAGTCTTAGAATTAGTTCTTCAAAGGATCCATACCAAAATTGTTGTTGGATTTTTAGTTTGTTAATAGAAGATGTATCTAATTTTTGCCACCCTAGATCCGTTCCAGGTTCGACTCATAGGCAGCGTCGACGATGCCGAAGGTAGAGTGGAAGTCCTTTACGACGGGTCCTGGGGGACCATCTGTGATAGCGATTGGGATATCAGAGATGCGACGGTCGTATGTCGAATGCTAGACTTCGACGGTGCTATGGAAGCAACGCATTCTGCTAGATTCGGTAAGGGTTCCGGTGACAGCATTCTGGAAGGTGTCCGTTGCAGGGGAAGAGAGGACCACCTTGCAGAGTGTTTGCATGCAGGATTCGGGAGCAATGTGTGCGACCATGAGAAAGATGCCGGTGTCATCTGCTATTCCAACGGTACGAGGTGTAATTTTTCGTTATTGTTGTTAACTCATATCCTGCCATAAGGTTGCATTCACGCTACCGTTATAGTGCTTTGTACACGCGAGCAAGCTACCGCTTCGCTGCTTCTTGCATGTTTGCAAGCAGTTATTGTTCATGCCCATTGTACTGTGCCTGCAGTGTTTCGCACGCGCTATTGATAGTACCACCGCGTTAATCCGATTATCTCAAAATAAACTGGGCACTGGGGGGGGGGGGGGGGTTGTGGCTTGGCACATTGGGGATTAGCCCTGTGGCAGGATAAGAGCTAATCAGGCATATGAATGAAAGTAGCACATACAACAGTAAATTCAACTCCATGCTTGTTCTGTTCATTTTGCAATCATGTTTGTACGTTGTCGCCTTCATTGGTGCGTCAAATATCTTGCCAGTCGCTGACGTAATCCTACGTCAGAGAAATGATGCCTCGTGTGAAAATGGCATTACATAATTACTCGCTTAAATAAACTGCCCTTCAATTTGATTTGTATTGTAATAGAAGGTTTCACTTGCCAGAGGTAGTTACGTTAAAAAAAATCCTTAGGTGTACTCAGCCTTACTTGGACTGACAAATACCTGATTTGAATCTAGACGGTCAGGTCATTCACAAGAATGACATGGAGCTTGTTTGGATCAGGAACACCTCAGCCATTTTCCCCTCTTTTTTTTAGTAAGAACATAATCGTAAAGACTACCTACACCAGGGGGGTGTTTCACAAAGATTCTAAGTTGAACTTATCTCCAAGTTGGACTTACAAATTATGGAAAGCCGTTACCATCTTTGAAAACATTTTGTAAAAGTTATTTGGAATGGCATAAAATGTTGATTCAAATCATTCATATCTTCTATCATCAAGGAGATTTAATATTCTGGATGTGGAATTTATAAAAAGTCTAAAATACTTGAATTTCTGCTTTTGAATATATTTCATTTTAAGGCTCCAATGGCTGTCCATAATTTTTAAGTCCAACTTAGTGTTAAGTTCTACTTAAGATCATTGTGAAACACCCCCCTGGACAATGACATATTACTAAATGCGAACAGGATTTCTGACTAAAGGCAGTATATTATGATACTGATATTGTCCTTGATTTCTTGAAGAATTTTGCGTTGGTGTTGTGATTAACTAAGTTGATGACCATTCAATCGTAAGCAAATATCATGTAGGCCTATAATTGTTCTGTTATCATATACTTCAGTGCCTGCAATATAATCCCAACTCCATACATCGTTTGAATTGTTAGCCCCTTATAGCAATCATGGAATATTTATCAGAGATGAGTTAATTCCTCTTGCATCAAATATTCATTTCTATTTCCTCCCATCTGATCCGAGCAGCTTACTTTGGCAAAGGAATAGGAGCCATTTTCATTAAATATTATTTTCTATTTCCTCACATCTGATCCGAGCAGTTCGTCTTGTAGGAGGATCCAGTGACGCTGAAGGTCGGGTCGAAATACAGCACACGGGTGTATGGGGAACTATTTGCCACGACCAATGGGACATCCTAGACGCTACGGTCGCGTGCAGAATGCTTGGGTTTCAAGGTGCGGCCTTGAAGGCTCTAGGATCAGCTTACTTTGGCAAAGGAATAGGAGCCATTTTTATTAAATATTATTTTCTATTTCCTCACATCTGATCGGAGCAGTTCGGCTTGTAGGAGGATCCAGTGACGCTGAAGGTCGGGTCGAAGTACAGCACATGGGTGTATGGGGAACTATTTGCCACGACCAATGGGACATCCTGGACGCTACAGTCGTGTGCAGAATGCTTGGGTTTCAAGGTGCTTTGAAGGCTCCAAGATCAGCTTACTTTGGCAAAGGAATAGGAGCCATTTTTTATTAAATATTATTTTCTATTTCTTCCCATCTGATCCGAGCAGTTCGTCTTGTAGGATGATCCAGTGACGCTGAAGGTCGGGTTGAAATACAGCACATGGGTGTATGGGGAACTATCTGCCACGACCAATGGGACATCCTAGACGCTACGGTCGCGTGCAGAATGCCTGGGTTTCAAGGTGCCTTGAAGGCTCTAGGATCAGCTTACTTTGGCAAAGGAATAGGAGCCATTTTTATTAAATATTCTTTTCTATTTCCTCCCATCTGATCCGAGCAGTTCGTCTTGTAGGAGGATCCAGTGACGCTGAAGGTCGGGTCGAAATACAGCACATGGGTGTATGGGGAACTATCTGCCACGACCAATGGGACATCCTAGACGCAACGGTCGTGTGCAGAATGCTTGGGTTTCAAGGTGCCTTGAAGGCTCCAGGATCAGCTTACTTTGGCAAAGGAGCCGGAGACATCTTCTTGGACGAAGTTCAGTGCGCAGGAACAGAGTCTCGTCTTACGGACTGTAAACATAGGGGTATTGGTGAGCACAACTGCGCTCATATTGAGGACGCCAGTGTCGTTTGTGATGATAAAGGTAAACTATACCGCCTAGTAGTTCTTACGTGTTGCATACAGCTAATATTTTTCATTAATTCGTTTTTTAATCTATTTATTTATTTATCATTTCCAATTAAGAACCAATAGCATGAAAAGGCATATTACAGTATCACATAAAGTGAGAAATTAACTGTAAATGCTATTATAATATATTTCTTAATAAAATAGAATTGAGGAACATTTCAAGGATAGACGAGTTATTTGTGCATTTCAATCCAAATATAGATAAGAAGTTGTATTTTTAAAAAAAAATGAAAAGGGATAACAACAATAAAACAAATACGTTAGAACAGAAAAAAGAAAATGGAATGTTGACAAGAAGAAATCCTTTTTAACTTGTATTTTTAGAAATATGTATGTCTGTAAATTTGTAATATTTGTAAATATTTTCAATATTTTCAAGGATCAAGTAGATCGTCCTCAAAACATAATCAAAGTCATCTTTGACCAAGTCACAGTATTATAATTTCAATCTATGACACTTGAATTAATAAAAACCTATAAATAAATGAATACAATTGCGATGATTGATTATGTTTTCTAATATTTTACCATCCTATGTACTAAGTTCATTTATATTTGCTGAAAACCAAATTGTTTATTATACTTTTGAGGCCTATCGGGGCTCAGTGTTGAAACTATGTATTTTATATAGCCAAAAATATAAACTTACATCATACACTTCAAGTTTAATGGGATTTCACTAGATTTTTGTTTTAACGTCGAGGTCGGTCCATAATTGACCAATGTATTACTTAGTACAATTTAAGGTTTAAGGTTTAAGGTTTAAGGACTTAATTCACCCATTTCCATTATTGATATCAAACTCATGTTATCCGCTCATTTCCCTCTGGTCAACTTTGCCAGGTGGTATGTCAGTTAAGATGATCGTGGGTGCAGTGGTCGGATCCAGCATCATGCTACTGATCATTATCGGTGTGGCATCACTGGTCTACTATCGACGAAAGAAGACCAAGGACAGAGCCGAGGAGAATCCTGTACCATTTGCAGTGTCGAAGACCACTGGACCAACGAAGGACCTGGCACAAGGCGAGGGTATCCAGGTTCCTCCGAACCCACCTAACAGGCCGTTGACATTGCCCAGGGTTTCAATGAAAAGAGATGTGAAACCAGCCGAGACAATGTTCATCTACCAAAGCCCCAAACCAGAAGACGGAGGCCTTGATGATATCGATGAAGAGAGGAAGCACCTGTACATGTCTATGGAATCAGAATACCTCGCGCCCTCTGCGGTGATAGATGATGTGTGTATTCCCTCTCTCGAACTGGGGTCGGATGCGCCAGCAGATGTTCCAGCCGCTGTCGAGGAATCTGTTTATATGGGAGACGATCTCTCCTAGACCGACGTCAAGGCGTCTGGTGTACAGGATGAAACCACCAGAGTATGAAGTTGCATTTGATACAAGTAAATGAAACCGTCACGAGAAGACGGATTCTCACAAAGCAAGCACAGAAGGCTACCGGTTTTTATAATAATTGTTATCTGAACTGTATATATGGCATTGAGAATTTAAAATTCACTCTAGAAACATGGTTTCAAATGCTAATTTCATTTTTTTTCCTTCACTCTACATCTTTATAAATAATGTCTTTTTATAACCAATCAATGGTTAAAAGTACAGGTACCAGGCCTAATAAAAAAAAAAGTGTCGTAATAATTTCAAAGGATAACAGCAGTTATAATAATTATTCTGGATGTAAATAGCGCCGATTACAGCCACGTACGATCCATCTGGATCAAAAGGATTAATCCTTCACTGAATATACACTCTGGCTAGTCAATATCACCTACCTTCGCTCCTGTGATCCCAAAGGGGTGAAGAACCATTTGGCTTGAGAAAGTCCACAGGAGTAAATGGAAGCTTGCTTACTAAATTATGATAATAATAATAATAATAATAATAATAATAATAATAATAATAGTTCGTCCTTATATAGCGCATTTCAGGACCGCAGGCCCTCTCAATGCGCTTTACAGATATATATTATTACCCCGGTCATCGGATTCATGCTTATTTTTTACCAGAACCAACGAAGTCTTTCTTAACTGAGCCTAAGTAGTTTCTATACTTTGTTTATGAACTCTCAAAAGTATATGTTGCTTTTTTTCAAAGTCTAATACACGCTGAGATATGATAATACTTAGTTTTCATCGGATTTAAAAACTAATTACCGTCTATACTATAATGTTACATTAAGATATTGTATATGTACAACAAAGTTTTCTTGAACGAAAAAGGAAATCTAAACAAAACACACCATTCGTTCATTACGAGGATACCGGGAGGATACCAAATACTTGTATATATGTTTATACATGTTCTTATTTATTCTTTATTGCTGTTATGCATTTATGTTCATGATTTTGTTATTATTATTATTATTATTATTATTATTATTATTATTATATATATATATATATATATATATGTAAACATATATTTTTGTTTAAGCTATTGTTCCTCATTATGTTTAACAGGGCCTCATGGAAGACCACCATTATTGGTCATAATGAGTCCCCCCGTCTAAATATCAGAAATAAATTAATAAAACCCATGACCTTCGTAACCCAGCCAAGTGCTTAGACCATTCTATTATGGCACATGTGATATTCTTTTTTTTTCCTTCACATAAATGTACTCTTTCGAACATTTCTGTGGGTTCTTGGTGTAAGATACACAATTCATTTATTCATGTATATTCGAAAAGTTTGCTTAAAACAAGAAAGTAACACACGAAATAATCACAATTATGCACCAGTATATGAATATTATGTAGACATAAAGCTAATTTTATTGTTCCAGGAATACATTTAACGGAGCGGAACAATATTTGGCAACAATTTTGCTTACGTTTTACAAGAAAATGAAGTAAATGAGAATAAATATCGAGCACATACAAACAAAAATATAACCCTGATATAAATAGATTTAGAGATACATGTATATTACCAAATCATTGAGCAAACGAATAAAGAGTACACAAATTAATAATAAATCTTACTGTCAAGATTTTCTTTAAAAATGAATTGAGTAATTCTTTACTTAAAAATGTTTATTCCTTTCCACGGTTTTCACCATTAATGTGCAATTTAAAAAATGTGTTAGAATATAGAAAATATTTCATTTTAACAATTATTGTAAGCTAAAGGGTAAAGAGTTAGTGAGTAAAAGAGAGAGAGAGAGACAGACAGAGAGAGAGAGAGAGAGAGATTGAGAGACATAGAGAAGGGGGTAAGGTGCGACATAGTTAGAGACACAGAGAGAGAGAGAATGAAAGAGAGAGAGAGAGACTGAAAGAGAGAGAGAGAGAGAGAGAGAAAAGGAAAGAGATGTATCTAAAGAGAAATAACAAAAAGGATATCACAAACTTTAAACAAATAACACATCCTTGCAGCAGTACAAATTCATATTGCTCGCTTTAGGAGCTTAGGGAAAGGATACTGATTGAATTCTTGTTACTCAATAATTAAAGGCGATCCAACCTTTAGTATTTCTTTTTCTCTCCCTCTTTGGGCTGATATTCCTCTGTTTTGAATGCTTTAAAACATATTTTATTTACTCATCAAACATTTTTGTTCTAAAACACGGTAACAAAAAAAAAAGTTTTTAAAAAGCCGACCGTAGATTTCAAGATTTTGGGTTCGGTCGCATAGGCAATACAACCTCTTTTTTTTTTGGTAACGCCTAATAATGTGCCCCTATCCATCAAAGTAATAATAATTGCAAGGCCAGCAGGAAGAGCAGCATTAACACCCATGTGGCTACTCGGGGTAAATAAAACCAGAGTATTTCTATTGTACATAAACAAAATTAAAAAACATTACATTCTTAATAGAATACGTTTGGAGTCGGTTTGGTAAAGTGTGACCGAGGTATTACTCGACAATTCTGGAACATCTTTGTTCCTCTGTTTGGTGTCTCTGCTCATAAGCTTGGGCATTTGGGTATTTAAGATAAATGGATGCACCCTTGTTCCCGATTGTCTCCTGGATCTTAATAGGTAGCCCCTACATCTTTTGTATAATATACCCGTGGGCAACGTTTTTAATTTAAAGTTTCTGTTCAGATGGTCTATCTTACTGTTTCTTTAGCTAAGAGAAAACAATTTTCTGTAGTTACTGAATAAAAAGCACCATTATACTCTTGAACTGGAAAGTTCATGTAATTGACGTTTACAGCGTTCATAAAGTTCATAGCATCAACGAATAGCATCCAGGGAGGGTGTACGACTCATGGCGAGTCTGGCGGGAGGGATGGGGGCCGTGGATGGTGGAATTCCGAGATGCGCGTCGCCGAGACGGAGTTTCCACGTCCGACATTGACATAATCATGTTTGGTTGGGGTCGCAGGGCTACCCATAGCTCCTACCCCTCCGTTTGGGGATTGCACATCGGCCAGCGTTGCGTACTGCGGCGACTCAGGTCCGGGCAATGTTGCGTAGTCGGACCCGCCGTTAGTTTTCAATGTCAACGGGGCTGGTCGATTTCGCTCAATCGTGCTTTCATAATGATGTGAATCACCTTCTCCCGCGGAACCGTTCACATTTGAAATCTCAGCCGGTGCTGGTTTGGGTTCACCTAAACTGTCGTATGGTGACTCCTCCTCGAGGTGAGTGCCGTTCACAGTCGCTTCTGAATCTCCATTTACTTTCGGGCCGCCCTCACGATCAGAAGGCGGTGAATCTGGATGAAGTTCAATAACGTTTTCCTCACCATTCGAAAGCTTCACATCGGTTAGTTGCGGCTGCGATGCAGATGCCGTTTCTAGGGATTCTGTCTCTCCATTACCGTCTGTATTATGCGCCAAACCATTTTCCATCGGCTTATCGACTTTCGGAGAAGATGGACGCGCAGTGTGAATGACCACATGTTCTGTTTTCGGCGAGTTCTTCGACGCTAAAGAAGGTGACGATCTGGCCGAAGATTCTTCAACGTCGTACCCGTGATTGACCCGGCCATCGAATTCCATCATGAGCGAGTCAAGCATCTCGCTGCTCCTACTCGTTCTTAATTCACTCTTGAAAACCTCATTGAGCCCGTTGTCGACCGAGGATACCACAGAAACAACCGAAGCTCTTTTCATCGGTGGGTTCGGGTGCCTCATCTCAACCTCGCTCGCTGTTCGGGCTGCCCTCGGACTCACGTATCCAACTTCGGCGTTGCTCGTGGCTGATCGGGAGCTAGAATTCTTCGGGTTCTTCTTCGGGGGCAGTTCGGGTCTGTTTCGGTTTAATGTGACGCGCTTGACGAACTGTTGCTTCATGGAGCTCAGTGAGTGAGTCAGTGTACCACCCTTTTTGACATTTTCGGAATCTGCTTCCGGGTTGTCTGTAAGATCCTTTTCCGGGTCGCGATTACGTCTTAGGGTACCACCAAGTGTTCCCCTCTTCTTGATATATCCCAGCACAACTTGAGGGACATTCCTATTTTGCTCCTCTTTCCGCTTCCTAAAATGATGAACAAGAAAGAAATCAAAGATTGTCATTGATTAATGAATGAATTATTGTATGTAGAGATTAAAAGAGTGCCACGACGAATTCGGAGAGGAGTTTGCATTCTTTTGTTCAGAACTAGATATTTCCATCGTCGTCCTTTTGCTCCTAACCTTAAATGGTGGTTATAGGAAGCAGGGAGAACTAGTTCATTACTCTTCCATACCTTAAATACGCAATTTTCTTTTTTAAAGCCCCCCCCCTATCAAGTGTTTCTGTGCCAAATTCAACTGTTGTACATCCAAAGTATCTTAAATATGAGAAAACAAATCTCGATGATCTATTCCAATTTTAGTTGTACCTATCCATTTGAAAAATTCTGAATCCATCTCAAATGATTACTAGTACTTTGATACTGTGTGGCAAAGATTTTACCCTTTTAAACATTCATTGTAAATGAGATGGCGTTTTGTAAGAATTGTTTTCATCAATAGCTTAACTCACGACTAACGACTCAACTTAAAATAATCTGTTCTTACCGATAACAAATAATGACTACGATGACGATGAGAATGATGAGAAGAGGCACGATCACAGCTACGGCGATCACCCAACCTGTCGATGATAACCAAGAATGAAGCAAATATGGATCAATCTGAACAATGCAAGGATTAACTGCAGAATATCCCATCGCAGGAGTAACTCTAACCCTTAGCAGGTTATAAACCCTCATCTTAACCTTAATTCGAAGCCCAACCCTAATCCTACACTTAACCTGAACATAAATCCTACCCTAATCCTTACCCTAATCAAAACCCTGACCTTAAACCTCAACTCTGACCCTAATCCCAACACTATCCCTACCCCCAACCCTAATGGGAGTTGGAGCTACTTAACGTCCTTTTCTTTCACACTGGGTAGCTCCTCAAAGCTGTCAAAATCTGTAGGAAACAGTCATCCATAGTCAGCCATAGCTAATTTATCTCTCTGCCTATTAAACCATAATTTATTTTACTGATATACATTCAATACTGATGCGTGGTGGTGATGGTGGTGGTGGTGGTGGGGGGATACTCTACAGTTTATCTCGATACAGAAATGACGCTGAAAACACAAAACCAGCAAGAGGTGAACGAGGTCTTGATTTTTGTTCCTTTGTATATTAAAAAAATCCTCCATATGTCGTCACCGATTGAGGAGATCCAAAAATAGGGTTTCCGTTCTGGCTTCCTAAACTCAGGGTCATCGCTAAACCCCGAGCCGTTTCTCATGCTCCTTATTTCCTCTTTAGTTTACAAACTAATCAAAACACCGGATGCAATAGAAAGCTAATCATTACCTCGATTATCTTGCATTATTTTGTCAATTGTGACATGATGTGTCAACTTTGCGTTAATTGAAAGGTATAATTATGTAATCGTTTTATACTATACAGTGTATGTATTTTGACTTTTGTTAAAAATACTTAAGTACTTAGTCTGTATACAGTGTATTACTTTTTATAATGTTGAACAATGCAGAAACAAAATCAAACAAAACAAACAAATAAATAAATTGAAAATTATTAATTCATCGAATGAAGATTTCTTTTGGGGTTTCAAAGGGCTTAGTCACATCGATCCGATTAATGATAACCAAACTTATAATTACAGCTGTATTCAAATAAATATATTTTTGATAAACAGACCCCTCAAAAAATCATGTATTTCAAGTTTCAGCGTTTGTATCTCTCGTGTTACTGTATGATCGTACTTGATGTTGATATCCTTGAAAAGTTTGTTTCTACCCCTTTACGACGGTACCCAAACTGTAATGAGTATGTGATCATGTAATGTGCAGTACACCTGACAATATAGCCAGGGCAAAATGAAATGTTACAATTATTTTATTGTTAATGAGGAATTCGTTATTTGTGTGGAGGATGGATTGTGTTATGAAGGTATAAGAATGCATTTTGCAACATTTCACCTGAGACTTGGCCCCATATTCAGGTGTGCTGCACATGTCACGATTACAAGAAAATGGTGTGTATTATGTATGCTTGATAGATGTAAGAGAGAGATTCCTCTGAACAAAAACAAAATTATTTTGCCATAAATTATCCGATTTATCAAGAAATAAAACTGTTAACAATTCATCAATTTACTTTTTAATTTGGATAGTGTAATCATTTTCCATTGAAATTCAATATTACATTCACATATCCATATCATATCACATATTCGTGATTTGAGACATATCCAATCTTCCTTATTGTACGTATTAAGATAGGATTACAGCTACAGCTTTTCTATATTTTCAATGAAGTGGAAACACTGGGACTTACTGCAGGGGCGTGTTTCACAAAGACTAAGATTGACTTTAAGTTGGTCTTAAATATGGCAGGCTGTTCATGCCACTGGTTGGTCTCACCATTGGTCTCTCAATTATGATCTTCAGATAATATCTTTTTCTTAAATAGTAAACTTTCAAAAAAGGTAGATTCTATAGATTTGTGACCACGATTTGTATGTCCCTTGAGAGACCAATACCTGTAATTGGAGAGGACAAACAGTGGCATGGACTGCTCAAAGTCGATCTTAGTCTTTGCGAAACACCCAAGGATCTATCCCAAAGAAAACCTTCTTTGATCAATGTGATCGAATTCACTGAAAACGTTTTTCAGCTTATTTTGAGAAGTTCAAAGGTTCGGACTTTACAAAGAAATCAATCAAAGTTATATCCACATGACAATAAACAGGCCATGATTTGTTCCTGAATAAACATACGCGAAAACATAAAACCACAGAGAGTACATTCACCTTCGTGTCGATTGTCATGATTATATAGGATCGTTTAAATAGCACATTCAGTTGAAAATCAAGATTCTTGAATGATGCATTTCACTACCTTGAAATGACTAATAGGGCGTTTTTGAATTAATGATTGTAAGGATAAGAGACCTATTGACTCTTCTGACGCTACAAACAGCTCTATATTCATACCTATAATCACTTTTTTAAAGGCCCACTGCACTACTTGTAGCTACTTGCGCCCTCTATAAATAACAAACAATGCCTAATCGGTGACCATTGGTCCTCCATGATCCTCTTTTTCTTATGTTAACTGAGAGCTGAGTTGATGAGATAACCACCTGTTCAGTGACCTTGCAGGGCAGTCTAATCCCTGCTGTAAACTACGGCAGATAAGCTTTAAAGAGGAGGTTTGCTACGTGTTTGATTTTATAAAGAATCTCATAGCAATTGTGATTCACGTGGTAATTTATCATGCCTCCTCTCTTAAAAATTCACTTTACCACTCTTTCCCAATCTTTCAACCCGACCTACCATTACTGATAATAGCGATTTGAGGCTCTATAAGGCAATATTCATAGAACTAAAAACGAAAATACTTATCTGCATATTGAGTAGTATAGATTTTAGCACAATCTCCCTAATGGACCATTATACCCACCCTGTAACCTCCCTCCGAACTGGACGACGACTACCCTTGACAATTCCTCCCAGAATAATTACCCCTACAATGTATAAGGACATGATCCCTCAGACCTAATTACTTCTTAGACCATTTATCTCATTGGGCAACTACACCTTAGGACAACCAACTCCCGTATGAAGTTGTCCAATGGTATTTGGGATAATTCCTTCAGATTCGGAGCAAGGGGTCCGTATTTTGTCAGAATTTATTGGTTTAAGAAGTTACAGTCTGGATGTTGTTTTCAGGTATTTCAGGTACGAAAATATCTTTATAAAATGTATATCATACCATTAAAGAAGACATATTTTTTAAATCCTCAGGTTAGTCTATTTAAACTTTTTAATTTCATTTTTTCCAAGGCTTTCCTTAACATAAATGCACTAAACTAAAAAACTTAAATTACGAGATATCTAATAGGATGTACAAAGTCTGTATAAGGTTGTACAACCGTTGGTCTTGTAAATTGTGATTGGCCGGAATGCTCCCTTAGGAGTGGAAAGTGTGTACAGTGCAGTTCAGAATTGAAATAGAATCCAGTGACTAGGGCAATACTGTAAACGTTGTGGTCAGTTACGTTGCAACTGGTAAAGCGTTTTATACAAAAACAGAATTATTATCATTAATATTATCGTTAATAGAATAAGCAACGTATCATACCTTTCGATCCACTCGGTCCGCCGACTCCCGCCGTAGTAGATCCAGTGGTTTCTAGGCTAGTCATGGTCCTATCAACTTTGATAGTCGTAGGTAGGTCGTTGCTAGGTGTGGTCGGAGGAGATGATGCCGTTGTCATGGTATCTATGGATAACAAGTTAGAACGTAGGCGATGTTAAGCCAATACGAGAAGAATGCAGTATAGTTCCACTCCATGACAAGAAAAAAATGGAATTCCGATACGTTTCAACCAGAGGTAGTGAAGAAAGTGAAGAAAAGAGAAGAAACAAAAAAAAAAGGGGGGGGGAGGGGGTCTGGAGAGTATATTAGAAAAAGATGGAATGGGGAACAAAATGAAAGATGTTGGGATAAAAATAGAAGGTGAAGGGTAGGAAGAGAGTACATGAAAAAAGTGTGTATGTGCGAATGTGCGTGTGAGTGTGTGTGTGTGTGTGTGTGGGTTAGAGAGAGAGAGAGAGGGAGAGAGAGAGACAGAGGAGGAGGAGAGGGACAGGTGAAGATGTCACTGATAATCCTTGCGACCTTGCCCCTGCTGTACACCGACTATGAATAAGCTCACCACAAACACCTGCAAACTGGAAAATAAGTCAAAATTACCCAAAAAACTAGTCACCGTTGATCAACAAAATCTCCTTTTAACTAGTAGGTCCATGTTTTAACCCATGCGTCTGGAAACTTTTTCGACGAAACCGTTAAACCACCGCATACCGCAAAAAAAACGACAGAGCACGAATTCCCAATCAGCCACGTTGTTCAACTACTGTTCAGTAATGTTGATGTGTAAAAGTAATCGCAGCTTGCTGAACATCCTGTAGAGAAGCGATAAAGCTGGTCTGGGAGGGCGTAGATAGGCAAAACCTTAAAGGTGGGGGGTACCATGGTATAATAATGGTCAGGGCTATTTGACTCTCGTACGAAAGGTCCCGGGTTCAATCCTTACCCAATGCATACTCCTTGGATATTAAGTTGTTTTTGTCTATTGTTGTCCCTGGTGCCCAAGGGAGTGTTTCACAAAGGCTAAGATTGATTTTAAGTTGGAATTAACTATGGCAGGCCATTCATGCCACTGGTTGCTCTCACTATTGGTCTCTTAATTACGATCTTTAGATAATCTTCTTTCCTTCAATAATGAATTATCATAGTTATGGCCCGCGCCATAGTTAAGTCCAACTTAAAGTCGATCTTAGACTTTGTGAAACACCCCCTGGTGTGTTAAATTATTTTCTGGCAATGCTAAGGTATTAATAGTTTCAGGGTCAGTTAATACTGATGTGGCTACCTCGAGTTAAAAAAAAACCTAACAATTCATATCATCCCGACAAGGGCATTGGTGAACATGTAAGCCTATGTTACAGCGATTTTCACGATAATTACAAGTATGGTACGGATATATCCTATCCTCTATCCGACCCTTAAAAGTTAGGCAGACAATTGCTCCCCATTTCGGAGGTCACTATACCATTTTGATTATATTGATACAGTCTGCAGGAAGCTATTAATCTACCTCCTGCGTGTGAGATTTGTTCCTCCCTCTCCACTATAGCAATGAGGTCTTCACCAATAAACGAGGAAAACCTAAAATTCACAAGTGTTGGTGGACTGTGTACACGTTAAGCAAGCGTGCGCTCCCCAAGGAGTGGAGAATGTGCAAACATTGTGTGCGGATAAGCCTGAATTCGATGACCGGGGTAATAAAATATATCTGTAAGGCACTTTGACAGGGCCTGCGGTCCTGAAATGCGCAATATAAGAACGAACTATAATTATTATTATCAAAAATCTCTCATCACCCCTCTCTGTCTATCATAATTCGACTATATGGCCCGTAGAGTATAGGAACTTTGCATAATGTCATTGGAGTTGAGACGAATGAAGTCTCATTTTATGCCCATATGCCCATAATATCAATGTATCCAATGGACGTTACCAAGTAACTGATTGCACGAAATCGACTAGGAGTTTTTTTTTTTCTCAAGTAGAGTTTTTTTTTCATGATTTGATTTGATTTGAATCAGTATTAATATTCGCTGTCCATAAAATGTGAGATATCTCATATTTTACTAGTATTTGAATGTGCGTATAAGCGCAGTATATAATTACTGACATCAAGGGAACAGCGAACTGTCGTAACAGTGTCAAGTACCTTGGCGTGACAATGTGCTCAAAAGCACTGCGTGACAATTGCCATCGATCGTGTGAACAGCAAAATATATAAATAAGTATATGTCAGCGTGCGTGTGTTAGACACCTCATGGACAGCGAAATGTCGTCTCATTTAGCTGTCTAAAAGGGCAATATGCATCCACTCTGCCTTGCAAAAACACGACTTAACATCGAACACCGTTTGGACAGCGAAACGTTATCACATTTTCTCATAATTTTGTGCAAAATGTGACATAATCGTGTATGGACAGCAAAAACGATTCTAATTGCGTTTATATAAGACCACGGAATAGACGCGGGAAAAAAAAGCTTAGATTGTTTTCAAAGAAGGAATGCGAAAAAGGAGGTTCATCTAGTTCCTTGGCATCCCACGTTTCTTGAAAGCTAGGTTTACGAGGGGTAAGATGTTTATGTATGATTCATACGGGAAGGGAGGTGCGTAGGATATGGTCTACAAACGACAGTTCGAAAATCATCTGTCAGCGGAGTTCATTTGATTCAACGTAAACTTTTGACGTGTTTGGGTCCACGTTTTGCTGCTGATTTGTTTTTTAAATGTACAAAGAGATAGAGGGAAAAGAGACGGAGATTGATTGGAAGGAAAGGGTTTTTTGAGAGAGAGATTGAAAGAGAGAGAGAGAGAGAGAGAGAGAGGGAGAATGAGAGAGAGAGAGAGAGAGAGCAACAGAGAGAGAGAGGGAGAGGAGAGAGAAGGGATTGGCAGAAAGTTTCGAAGCGCGGGTCCAGCCAATGAGGGCACACTAGTCATGAAGGTTGGGCGGAGGTGGGGGGGGGGGGGTACAATGGAAATAAATATTGGGTTGGGCGGCTAAATTCAAATAGCGAAGGAAAGGTATGGAAGGGATCATAACGTCTTGTTTCCCCCTCTCCATTTCTCTCTCTCTCTCTCTCTCTTTCTCTCTCCCTCTTTCGAGGGAGAGTGTGCGTGCTTCCTGGAGCTACGTCACTGGAGACAGACTGTACAGACATGATATCGGGACAGAGAGATCGAGAGAGAGATTTATCATTTCCAGTTCGTGTTTTGCAAACCAAGCAAATGTCATTTAAAGTTTTTTGACCTTCCTTTTCAACACGCCCTCCTTTCATTAGCCACACGAATGTTCAATTTTCCCCGCTGACATAATGTGATTCAGGTACTCCCATAGGGTAAGGAGGAAACTACACAGACATACATGACTGTGAAGGAAACAAACTGGTCATGACTAAATTCTAAAGATAAAAATACTTCTCTAGCAATAGGAATCAGTGGCGTATGCAGCATATAATAGGGTGGAGAAGCCCCTTCACACCCCCCCCCCGAATCAAGTAAAATTTGTAATGGGTCTACTACAGACCCCGAATATCATGGTGAAGGAATGCATCAATATGATTGAAAAAAGAGAGATAGGTAGAGAAAAAAATAAAGAGAGAAATAAAACACGACAATGACACGTCTTGCAAATTAATAATCCTGATTTCACTTACCTGGGCACGTAAAACTTGTTATATTCCAACTTCCAGAATTTCCACACTCGAACGCAAAACTTAAAAACACTCCATCGCATACGAAATCTACGAGCACCCCCACGGCAAAATAGTCATAATTTGAGGAAGTTGCGAGTGCGCCCCCTGGTGGCAAGGCCGTCTTTGCGCACATCACTGGACAGACGGTGGGTAACCACAACCCTGTGGGATCACACTCGGTGTTAGAAGTTGTCGTATTTCCCAAGCACGTGTACGACACCGTTTCGCCGATGTCGAAGCTCTCGGCCGTCACCTGTTCAAAATCAACGTACGGCCTCGGATCGGGCGGCGAGCAGCGAATGGTACACACCGGAAGAGGCCCCGACCAGTCGTTTTCTGTGCAGGTGATTGTCGGTGTACCAGTTAAGCTGCTAGGTGATTGGCAAATGGTGCTGTAGTCCAGAGTCTCGTTAATGAGGAAGTCTTCTTGATTGACCGGTGGGTAGATGTCTTCACGGACATTGAGGTAACCCGGATGGAAGCAGTCCGACGCAGGATCTGTGTAGGATCGACACAAAGAAAAAAATAATCTTATGGAAACTATAGCTTCATATCGCCCATAAGGTCGATGTCCTCTAGGTCAGTCGCATAAGATTAATTCAGTTGCGTAATTTGCGTTATACTTCGCCTTATCAGGCTTGAGACAGCAATTAGAAGTTATGAGTCATTGTAAAAACAATGTTTTGATATTCTTATTGGTTATTAGGTGGAAGGGCAACATGAGCTCTGAATGATTTAAATGTCAAATCCTTTCCTAAATTACGACTGACATTCTTCTGCTTCTCTGCATCCGATAATTTGGCTCGAATTCACAAAGGAGGTTTGTAGACTTTATGTGCGTCATAATTATGACGCGTTTTGACGCGTTTCAGACCAAGGTTTGTCTGAACCTTGGTCTGAAACGGATCGAAATGCGTCATATGACGCACATAAACCTAGGTTTGTCGACAAACCTCCTTCGTGAATTCGGGCCTGTATGTCTGTGTTGTCTTATCATAATATCATCACTATTCTTTTAGGTTGTTCTCGTAAATTCATTTACATTTTGCACATGCTAAATCCTCATTCTGACTCTGTATGCCCGATATCGTTCTGTTTATGTATTTCACTTTAATCAGTGGTGATTTCGACAACTTTCTTGTGCACACCATCGTAGTTTGGAGTTCGTATTGACAACAAATAATTATTCATACCTTTGATTTCATAGACGAGTATTTCAAAGCCTCCTCCGCACATCTGTCCCGGGTCACCCGTGCAGTTCTTGCTGCAGGCCGAACTTTCCGACGGCGCGCCTCTCGAATTATAAGGCGCGAAAGCCCCACCACAGAGACACTGGCTGCCGTCCTGTAGCCCGAAGTAACGCGCGTTCTGATTGGTGCATATTTGAAAACAGAGCTCCATTGTCATGTCATTTGATTGGCAATACGGCTTTTTGGGACTACATGTGTTACTACATGACTGATGGAGGGCGCTTTCGCATTTGATGAGGTCCGGAAGAACATCGTATTCGAAGTTATCATAGTAGCAACCTTTGCTTGTGATCAAAGCTGTAAAAGGAAAAATAAAATAGGATAAAAGAGAAAATAAAGCTGCTAAAAGACTATTTGTGTGGGTTGTACAAGAGGCGTTATGTGGTGACGCAGGACTGCGTCAGCGATTTGCGGTGTTTTTTACTTATTAAAACAGACAGTCGTAACCGCAGTGAATACAAAATGAACGACTCAAACATTTTCTTAGATGACTAGTGCATTGGGCTGTTTGCCACCGGGGGCTAGTATGGCAGGGAATAACGCCATCGGAATGACACCTCAACCTGCAACGGGCTAAGGAACCATCTACCCCAAGCCATGGTCCGAATGGTTATTCACAGTATTATCATTCGCAAGACATTCATTTGTATTTAACTCTTTGTACCCAGGGCGTTATGAGAATAGAAAAGTGAGAATTGCAGGGAGCCATTACAGGGGATGTCCAAGCTGTTATTAAGTTGTTTTTAATAAAAGTAGAAAAATAAGAGAAAAAGGTAGTGATCGAAAGGTTGAGCAAAAATTAGAAATAGGAAAGCTATTAATTTTGGAAGCTGTTACAGGTGTATCACAAATTGGCAACAATGTGATGTATCATGCGAGCTCCTTTCCAATATGTTCGCATGATGCCTCACATAGTTGCCAATTTGTGTTTGATTAACTGCATCTTTTTTTTAGAATTCATAACTTTAAAAAAAATAAACGAATCTGTTTTTGATCACATATTCATCAACCTGTTTCTGTCATATTTCTACTTTTATGAAGCTAAAATTTTCGAGAATATAATTCCAACTTTGTCCTTTTGTTATAACTACAAATTCGAAAGATTTCCATAAGTTCTCTCATTCTCAAAGCCATAACTCTTCTTGTTCTGCATTATGAAAATTTAGCAAAGTATTTTTTCATACTGATGTGGAAGAGTAACTTTTAGAGCTAACTAAATCAGTATTTTCAGAGGGAATGAATGATCATAATTCATTAATCATAACCCGCCCACGTTGACCTAGCTTGCTTTAAAAACAAAAAAAGACAAACCTAAAAAAGGAAACACCTTTCTTTTTAAATTCTCACGACTATTAAGCGTAGTTTAACTGCCCTTTAAACCATGGCCTAGTGAATATGGTGATTCTTTGCTCGATAAATATCATAAATGGACGAGCAGAAAACGATTCAAACTATGCGTGAACAAAATAAATTAGCCCAGCACTGGAAATAAATTCGTCAATTTCTTTTTCATTCATTGTGTCTGGTTGAATGGCCTAATAATCAGGTACAATTCAATACATGAGTAGAAGAAGAAGGACTCAAGTCCATGAAAACAGTTTTCAGTTATTATGAAAAACTTAAAATTTCTAGAAAAGTTTAAAACTATTAAGGGAATCATTGATACATGATTATATTTATTCAAGATATGAAGATCAAAAAGATTGTCTCTTAAACTTATAAAGATTTTTTTACCCCCTAATAACTCAAAACAATTGCGATGGACTTAAGCCCTTACTCTTCTCATGTAGTCAGAACGCTGCCCTATAATTATACCATTCTCGATGAAGCCACAAAAATGTCATGGATTTTAGAATTGTTGGACACAATGAAAATGGAAGAATGAAAGATTGAAAAGGAATTTACCACAAATGAACTACAAAAAATATATTCTGCAAAACTTCGCAAGCTTATGATGGATCGTGTCATTGTACTGTGATGTACATGTACTATTCTAATCAAGGATGTCCTTTTTACTTCGAGATAAGCGACTAAATACAATTATGATTTCTATATACAGTTGTCATAAATTGCAAATCATGGAAGAGCATTATCTTTACTAAAACATTTATCACAGTAAGTTGGACTGTTGCACTAGTTTCTTCCGTAAAATTACAAGTAAAAATATTTGGGTAAAAACTGCCCAACAGGAGGATAATTACACGTCTGATCGACCTTTGGAAAATCTAACGCTCAATTTGGGTAAGGCTTTGAGAAGTCTTGATCACCTTCAACTAAAATTGTAGCGAAAATCATGCAAGTTAAGCCTGTAGGGCCTAAATGTCTAAAAGCTGGCCAGACACATAACACACCCAAGAATTGCTACAGTCTACTGTTGGTTCTACTTGTGTGTACTGCACTATTAAAGTACAATTGCAAATTATATTTATTGCTATATACCTCTAACTACGCTCCTGCGGGTGATGCCACTATAAAAGAATTTAAGTTCAAGTTGAGGTTTCTATTTGAATAAAAACGTTAATTATTAGACAAATTTTCGGATCGGTCATCATCCATGGTCGGGTTCTTTTTGGTTTATACGTTGATAATCTCTTCATGCAATATTGACTTAATGGGGATGTTTGGTCATTGTGAACAATGACTAGCCGCATACCTGGCTAGATCCATGACGGATTCATTTATGAAAACAATTTCTTTACAATTATGTGATCTTTATTTTGAATATCATATCATCGGCAAGTTTAATGGATTATATTGACAAAATGTGAGTAATCATTGGGATGATAGAAATAGTATGTATGATATTGTTCTAAAATGAAAACGAAGGATGAGTAATAATGAGGAGAGTTGACCTCTGGATGTCAACTGTAGTCTATAAGGACTGCAAGGTTTTGACCAGCATGTGCAAGATGTCTTTCCTTTCATGTTTCTCGAGATTTCTTTTACTCTTTTCACACTGGTTTTGCTTAACCCCGTACTTTGCTTAGCCCCGTACTATCCTTAACCCCGGACTATTTTTTTTGGCTTTTCACACTCGCTGTTTTTAGTCCCGTACTAGCGCCTATTCCGGAATAAGAAAATTCCCGCTGTTCTCACTGCATTTCGTTAACCCCGGATATCGTGTATGTTATGATAGGACATACTTCGCATCTGGCCAGCTGCGATACGCTCCATTGCGTAGTACCGGACTATTTTTCGTTTATGTTCTCATTCATTTGCTTAGCACCGCAATTGCGGGGTTAGCAGGAGTTAGCACCACAATTGCGGAGTTAGCCCTGCTATTTTGCAGGGTTAGTTAACCCCGTACTATAGGTGGGGTTAGCCAACTTTAGCCCACTTTGGTAAAAACCAGTCTGAACAGAAAGTGGAATAGGCTTAACCCCGTACTATAGGTGGGGCTAAGACCCCCCCCCCCCCTTAACCCCACCTATAGTACGGGGTTAAGCAAAATATTGCCAGTGTGAAAACAGTATTTGTCTTCATAGTGTAATTTGAATATACAAGAAGGAAATGCTTATTAACATTTGTATGGCCAGAATGGCCCACTTTGTAATTTTCTTTCAGATATTCATTAAGGGTTATATAGCTAAGCTCACTTATGCGTGAATAATATGATTCAAATTGCATATTTCTTAAAGAGGTTTATTATTTTGTTGATATAATATGAAAGACAAGTTCAAATTAGTTATTCATTGAAAAATCTTGATTATAAATAGAACACACATTCTTTTTCCCCACTGAGTGTATATACATGTATATACATGTGTATGGATGCACGTGTGCGCGAGTGTTGCGTGTGCCTGTGTCAAAGAATCCCCTCTTACCGGTATCCAGTTAACACGTGGGTGGAGGGTGGCAAATGTAGATTAATGTCTTAACAAAGGACATAATATGTATACATATATATATATATATATATATATATACACACACACACACACGCGCGCGCGCGCGCGCGCAGTGAGAATCGATCTGCGAACCACGTGATCCATAGTCCAACTGTCCAAGGTCCACAATTTGACGACATAGAACTGCATAAATGTATAAATGCAAGGAATATTCACAAATAACACATGGTACAACACACAGTCATATCGTTGGCATTTACGATGACTGTATTATCATTGTTAAAGAATGAATTGAATATTTCAACGGTTTATCAACTATAATGAATCGAACCGTGATCCTCTGAGTCTGATTACATAAGCGGATAACTCTAGATTTAGCAAATGAACCTACAAATTGAGGTCAGTAAGGAGACATTGATATTCTTCTTATTCGGAAGTAAAGGATAAAGTACAACAATCCTCTGATTAGAAAGCTTAGATTCGCTCGATTAAGAATGTCCGCAGTTGCATGGGACTAAACGATGGGGGATTTAGACCTGTCTAGCTTAGATTCACTCGATTAAGAATGTCCGCAGTTGCATGGGACTAAACGATGGGGGATTTAGACCTGTCTAGCTTAGATTCGCTCGATTAAGAATGTCCGCAGTTGCATGGGACTAAACGATGGGGGATTTAGACCTGTCTAGCTTAGATTCACTCGATTAAGAATGTCCGCAGTTGCATGGGACTAAACGATGGGGGATTTAGACCTGTCTAGCTTAGATTCGCTCGATTAAGAATGTCCGCAGTTGCATGGGACTAAACGATGGGGGATTTAGACCTGTCTTTAATCAGCTCTAAAATGCCTTCTTTTCTCTCATTTTCTTCTATCTCTTTTCTTTTTGCCATCTCTCATAAATGTCATAATGACGGCTCATCATTTTTTCAAATAATATTCTCACCAGCTGATAGTATATATCTTCATTTTTCGCCGAAACAGGCATCTCTCCTTGTCATCAATCATCAATTTTACTTAAATTGAAGTATGTATCGAATCTCCATTATATTTCTATTCCACTGGCCTGTCTTTGCGTATTCTGTGTTATAAGGTTAATTCTCAGTCGCTGAAATGAGAACGACCCAGACTCAACTTTTTTCAACATTTCTTTCTTTCATATTAATCGTTGTATCGAAATCGAGAAATATATAGCACAGACATGACAGACCTATAAAGTATATCTCGCGTTCATTGAATTACAATTTTAGTAGATATAATACAAATTGTTCAAGCCGCTAATCACTGTATGATTCAATTTGTGTAAAACAATAGCGTGACATCACAAACTATTGTGGTGTAAAGTGCGTTCATGGACTGTGAAATGTTACACAAACACATTTGTATTTACATCCGAAATAAATCATAAATTTCTGGGTATAACAGTATAATGACACAGACATGACAGACCTATAAAGTATATCTCTCGTTCATTAAAATACAACTTTAGTAGATATAATTCTGATTGTCAAGCCGTCAATCACTGCATGATTACATTTAACAATAGCGTGACATGACAAACCATTGTGGTGTAAAGTGCGTTTATGGACTGTGAAATGTTACACGAACACATTTGTATTTACATCCGAAATAAATCATAAATTTATGGGTATAACAGTATAATGACACAGACATGACAGACCTATAAAGTATATCCCTCGTTCATTGAAATACAGTTTTAGTAGATATAATTCTGATTGTCTAGCCGTCAATCACTGCATGATTACATTTCACAATAGCGTGACATCATAAACCATTGTGGTGTAAAGTGCGTTCATGGACTGTGAAATGTTACACAAACACATTTGTATTTACATCCGAAAAATAGTATAACCTTCTGAGCATAATAGTATAATTAAACATTGTTTACAAACATACATCCGGGCACTGTTTATCCTCGGAAAGACTGGTAGATATAATAAGTGATTGTGTGTGAATTAACACCACTGATCACTACGATTGTCTTTTTTGTACAGATCAGTGATTAATACATTGTGTGTTCGTGTTTGAGAAAACTATGTTTCATTCTTAAACAAAGTGAAATGTTGTATTCTGTCTGCTAATAAGGCCCTACGCTGTTTACATATACAGATAGTATATCGTAAATACCTGATATAAAACTAGAACAAGTTGAACTCAAAACAACGCAATGGAAAAATTGTTAATATCCAAATGTAATTCCCAAATAACATAAGAAGAATACAGGAATCGCGGTATACATCCTATATTTTCCTTATCATAACATAGTTTCAAAATATCATACACTGTTTGGAATAATTAAACATCCGGGGACCTTTTGTCCTCGGTTAGACTGGTTGATGGAAAAGTGTTTGTGTGTATCCTGATAGATTCTGTTCGCGTTAGAATAAAAAAAAACCTTTGTACTATTCATCACAAAACAGCTCGATCTTCCCACTTCTGTGGTAAAAACCTTTCAGTTCTGTTTGCTTTGTACTCTTGTAGAATCTCTCCTCTAACAAATGATTCTTTCAATGAAAGCTTTAATTTTCTATTCCCAAAAGCCTTGGGCTAGGTATTGAGTCGTGGACCGAAAACGAATATATTAAAGGTGAAGCCTTAAACAGCTTTCATTGTAAACAACGGAAAACATTCCTTTTGGGACTAAGATCGATTAATATCTGTGATGATCATGTAAGCTCAAATTGAAGAAAAAAAGTTTGCTTGATTGACAATATTATGGTGATTAGATATTTGCTTCTGACCACGTATCGTCAACTTAAAATATGGATTTATGGCTTTGTTTTCAATCGGGTTTAGAATAGGTTTAGCATAGGTTTATCATCTTTGTTATTAATTTCATACATCAATTGTGTTAGATTGTCATTATTTCGTAGTATATCAAGGATGTCGATTTCCTTTGTTATATTAGTAGGTCCATGCATTTAGTCAAAGCTCCACCACACCCCAAGAAAATAAAGTTGCAAACAAATTCACAATATTTTAAACATTTGAGAATCCCAAACTGGTACTTTGAAAATATATGCTGTACCAATAACCACGTTGACCTCCATAATGTATAATGGCTGTGAGCCATGAAATCAAATTTCACAATTTAAAGGGATTTGGGCAATAACAAAAACAGATTTTCGTGAGGCTGACAAAGTTCTTCTAATACTTAGAGGGGTAAGCAGCGTAGGCTCGGTCGAAAAAGAATATAACAACCTCAGGGTGTGTCAAGAAAATGAAAACAGAATAATATACTTGACCTTACGTGCCTCTAAACAATTTGAATAACTGGATCCTTTTTATAGTTCATTGCACCAGTAGATATTGGTTTCATATCGTTACGTACAGTAGAATACGTAATAGGGAGGGCTATTGTGTGAGCCTAAAGATAATTATGAAACCAGATAATAATTGAGGCGCAGTTCTCAAAGAATATATATATATATTTTTTTTTTTCTTCTTCTTTTTTTTATATTTTTTTTTTTTGGGGGGGGGGGGGGCTTGAGGGTCTTTTTCGGAGGGGGGGGGGGTCCTTCTAGAACCCCTTATGAAACCAATTTTCTCCCACTCAATGCATAATCATGCATATCATGGACCTAGGTCGGATAAAAATTATCCATTTTTATTTGAGGATCAGTTTTCTCATGTTCACGGCTTTTTCAAAATTAAAGTGTCCTTTTTTATTTTGTTTTCTATTCATAATTTCTAGACTACCTGAAGAAAGAGCGGAGCCATTATGTTAATGACTGTGAATAGAACAATCTAGTCGTAATCTTTAAATTTCTTTTAATTTTTATTATTGTTGAATTATTTCTTTCGTTCATACGGAAAATAAACCAATAATCCAACCCATAGAACGATTGGGATGTTTAGAGATTGCAGATAGTACGTTATGCATAATTCATTATATTCAGACTTGTGCATATACAATCTTACCCATGATTTAGGGTTGAAACCGGATTGAAGTTAGAAATTTGATTTTGTTTAAAAGAAACTGATCGCAGATCGTCTTTTCGCAAGTGGGTGTGTCGTACTATCTTTTGTTTGCTTTCTTTTGAGGCATCTTGTTGTACTCTATTCTACTCACTTCCTTTATCACCGTTCATATTGTATGATTGATATGCAAGTTCGACGGTGCGGTTGCTCAATAAAGATATGTATGAATAGCCCAGGACAATAAGGAAATATGTCCTGAGCGTGATTGAAAAATTTACAACGTGTGTTAGGAATGCGTATTGCCAATCGTATACACATATATCAATATATTGTTATTGGTTTTTACAGGGCTGTAATGGGACTTCAGACAGGGATTAAGTTTATTGGAACCAGAGAATTTAGACTGCTTCGTATCAGGTTTATGAGATTTTCATAGCCTCAGAATTTTATTATTGAGTTTTCAGTTCTATCACATTCCTTGAAAGTTCAAAAGTTTATTTAGATTTTTAGCTACTCAAAATCATCTGGTAGCCTTTTTTTCTGTGTATACCGAACAAGTTAGGCTCTTGAGATTAAACAAAAAGTGTTATATCATATGACTTCGTTCATATTGCATTCTGCAATTTATTCTGCATTAGTCTTTGAAATAAGTGTATTAAGTTGAATAGGGAATAATAATGTATTTCGTAAGAATGATTAAAAGAAAAACAAAACTCTGTTAAAGAGAAATAGCGTCAGCCTGATATTAAATAAAATGTAATATTTCTAAGAATATTGATATGGGTTGAATAATTTGACAAGTAATCATACAGCTCCATTGTATTGGTGACAATACATTGATGAATTAATTTCTATAGCCGAGATTTCATGTTTTAATCTCGGAAATATATGTGGTACTAAGAGGATTGTAAAACTGAATCTTATAGACTTTAATAAAACTAAGAAATACAAATAAGTTCACCCATGAAAAGTTCCTTTCATTTTCCAACTTGTACAGGCCTCCGAGAACGCCCCGCTCTCATATATTTTGTTACCCCCTCCCACCCCCACCTTGCCAATAGTAAGGGGTCTGCATCCCCATTGAAAGAGGTTGGTGTGATTGGGGGGGGGGGGGGGGTCAGTGACATAACAAGTGCATTTACCAGTTTCTGTTTTCGTTCATTATGTGTACGGAAGAGTAAAGGTGTTTTAATGAATCAGTGTATTCTAGTGAGTGGGAGGGGTAGGGGGATGACGCGCTATACTTACTAGAATTCACCTGTGACGCAACGAGGGCCGGTGCCACCAGAAGAGTAAATGTCAAAGATAGGAAGAGGTACATTATTGTATTTTTGGCTCGCTCCATATCTCCATAAAGATCACAAGGACTTCCTTTTTCTAATTCCAACGAAAAACCACATTGGCCTTTAACACGTCACAATGATGACACGCACACTTTGATAAAGGTCTCGGTTCTAATTGTAGCGTTCTGTAGATTTCTGATCAAAATCCGTCATAATGTAGCTTCAAGTAACACAACGGTTACTCCTTGTATAATTCCAAGTACCCTTAAGCCGTCGTTGTTCTTTGAAGAAGCTTAAAAGTTTCCGATCTGCGGTTGGTCACCGTGTCTATTGTGGCTATAACTATAAGTAAGACATTAAGTGTCCAATTTAAAGAGTTAGCGCTTCCAGTTCTGACCATGCATAACGGGATAATCCTACTATTATCCAAAAAAGAAAGTATCTTTGGTAGAGCTTGGAGGTGGGAGTTCGCGACGTATACGTAAAAGATTCCTCTTTAGGACTGGTTCTTCACAGCTATGACATCTCAATATGAAATTCGGTATGTTCACAAAAGTTTTTTGCAAAGTGTTCGTCTCTTGTTTTACAATGGTGATGTATTGTCCATTCCCAAGTCAGAGTATTATATGCAGCATATGAATGGTTAAACACAACAAAGGTCGGTGCGTTTACGGTTCAATTTCCAACTCAAGCGAAAATTCTCAGCGATTTACATGTAGTTGGAGTTTGTTAGAAATTTGCTATTGCATGATATAGCTCATTGAAATACACCAGATCGCACAGAGATGCTAATTTTATAATGTCTATCGAATGCATCATGTCCAGATCACACAAAGATGTTAATTAGATGCTTACTTTATAACGCATGATGTTCGTTTTTTATAAACAAAACGGCGCGAAGATGTTCACGCAGACTTTATCGCTGTATCGTTATAACTTTTGAGATTTGCAAACCGAGTTCGATAAACTGATTGAAACATGTCCATGCTCCAATTATAACCTGATGAATATTTGGCCTAACACAAGGGGGTAATTGGTCGGTATTATATCCAAACGTTCCAGCGCCGACGTCCTTTTATTTGTCATGTCGTGATCGAATCCCGTATTTTCCGGTTACGTCATCACGTCTGAAAAATACAAATACAGCATGCTGCACTATTATCAACGTAGCTGATAGGAAAATGATAAAATAGAACATGTACGGATGTACTTTTGAAAAGAGTTCAACTTCGCTGATCACACACGCACACCAAACAAGTTGTCCAAACAGTTAGTGGCTTCTTGCAAGGAAAACTCGGTGATGGTCCAAGTTAATGTAACACAGAGACATGAAGAAGGACGGTCGGTCATCCCTCTAAACCAAGTTAATTCCTTCCGTAGAGTCGCTTATGGTACTTCTGCACCCTACACACAATAATCACTTTGGAAGATGTATAGATGAGTGAAAGATTACCCTAATCAATAAGATATTCTAGAAAGAATGGATACTTTGGAGACTCGTTAAGTCCAGCTCTACATTCTAGCGTACCATTCAATAATGATCCATAGACAAGTGAACCCTCATCACCTTGAAACAGGATTTCGGCGGCGACATATTCGGACGGATCCGCCGCGTACGTACGCTAGCTTCTCACACCGGTATACCCTGTCGACACCAAGATAGAGAGAGCGAGAGCTTAGCCTATAAAGTCCACCCGAAGAAGACCAACTAGTACAATGATAAAGCTTTCGAGAGGAGGGTCTAATCCAAACCTCGGCGCGGGACAGGTTGTGTGGCGTAAACAATCTTTGAGGCTCACTTCATTATTTTGTGTTGACTCACAGCAAACTAATTCAACCTCAACAAGAGAAGTAAACCGCGTCATAGTAATCACCGGTCATACAAGTGAGTTACCGAGCCGTGAATTCCAAAAATATAGAACGGAATCAGAGGAAAGAGAGGAAGAGAGAGAGAGAGAGAGATGGATAAAGATAGAGAGAGAGAAAGAGGGAGAGAGAGAGAGAGAGAGAGGGGGGGGGGGCTGAGAGACGCCAAGAAGACCTTGCAAGAAAAGCAAATCTGAGCATTTAATATTTACCCAACAATGCTAAAGCAATATTGTTATATTTTGTTGCGCATGATTTGCGTTTGCATGCATTGGGGAGGAATGGTTCGTTTTTTTTTTATCATTATAGAACTAGAATTGAAAATCGTAAGTTTGAAATTGCAGTTGTTGAAAAGGTAAATGATTATGTGTTTGTCTATTTCTAGAAATAGGGAAAAATAAGTGTATCTCGAGAAGGCCGAAGTTACATGTAGAGAACATTAAATACAAAGAAGGCCAAGGCAACCTTAAGAAGGTCAAAAACAAAAATAAGAAGTCAGTAAATAAAAAATGAAACACTCACACACGCACAAGAAATAATGCTTTTCGTAAAATTATAATATTTGTATGTTTATATATCTGTAAAATCAAAATAAGCCTTTCGCTTTGGTCTGGAATCATGCAGTACAATCTTATCTGTATTACAGCAAATAGAGTCAAGTAATAGGTGATGAAGTATTTTCAACTGCAAAAGTACGTCTATACACACAACAACTCAAAGACACAACATAAACAAAAAATACAAAGAAACAGAGACGTCTAAAGCTCAAGAAATCTGCTGCTGAGAAGGCTTCACAATCCTTAATATTTACCATGTTTACTGGTCTATAATCGAAATTCTTTCTCGGAGCCATTGTCTTGAAAGAGTTCAATATGAACGCTACTTAAAGCCCCCAAAAAAGAAAAAAAGAAAAGAAATGAAAACCACAACAACAACAACAAAAAACATAAAAGGAACGAAACGACACAAAACAAAGTAAAGAAAAGAAAGAAGAAAAAGAAACCCGGAGAACAAATTGAAATTGGGAGAACATGGAGAGCAAGAGGAAACTAACAAATGCAATTGGAAACCGAAAACGAATAATAGGGGAAGAAGGTAAGATGAATGCTTTTCTTTTCTACAACCAGCCATTTTTTGATGGAAGGCAAACGAGTGTGCTTTGAAATTTTTCAAATACCGGAAATTGAAATAAGGTTTGACAACACTCATTTTCTATTGTATAGAGTGCTCAGGCATTGACATTTTTTACCGAAATCAATCTTCAGAAAACTGAGTCATAATAATTTATATTAAAAGGTCAATGTAAAGAAAGATTTCAGGAAATGACACGAAAGTCATAAACCACACTGGTGTGATTAGCCATGAATTCTAAACGGGCACAATCATGCTGCAATTTATAACACAATCACCAATATCGTTGGAAAAAAGAAAAAAATAATAATTATGTCCTCCAACATAACAAATACCAGATCCGGGAATGTTGTAGCCCAATTTTTCTTTTAATTTACGGATTTTGTTTCTATTAATTCAGTTTGATCTTGGAAAGATTTTTGTACGACGACATAAGATTTTTTAAGAAATGTGCATACATGTAGCATAGCAAATATGTTTTGCGTCGTTGTTCGTTTTTAATACTTGTGTCTGTCATGTTCATGATTTTTCACTATCTAATTGGGGACGGGTCTATTCATCGCAAACTCCTTTTCTTCGATTTTTTTCTTCTTCTTTGTATTTGTTCTTCTGAAAGCGAAAATTGAACATTGGCGTATCTTTTTCCGAAAATACGAAATTCGGAGTGAGTCATATGCCCTTCTCTTTGGTAATAAACATTATTCTTATTGGTAATTTTGTGAGTCCTATTTTCTTGCAAATTTAAGCCTTTCTTTTTTTTTTTCATCACAATTCCTTATCGGTTTCCTTTTTTTTCCTTTTCTCCTTCTTCTCTTCTTTTTGTTCGCTTCTCTCTAACCTTCCTCGTCCTCCTTCTCCGTCTTCTTCTTATTCTCATTCTTCTTCCTCGCCCTCCTTCTCCTTCTCCTCCAACTGTCCTTCTTCCTTTTCTTCCTCTCCTCCCTCTCCTTTTGTGTCCTATTTCTGAGTCTCCCTCTTTTTCTCCCTAGCCTTCCCTTTTCATAATCATGTTTTTCTCCTACACTAAAACATATTTTGGCTGACATAGGTTCAAAGTTCAAAGTTCACATAAATATATTTCAGGGCTAATTTAGTTGTTCATGTTTGATTAATGACAATCTGTAAATGTTATCATCTGGATCTTCAAACATGCCAATAAACTAACGCTTTCCTATCAATTACAATGTAAAGCATGCGATCATTTCATCAAGCACGTTGTTATGTATACATTTCTTCTTTTACTTCGACAAAAAGCCTCCATACGAGAGCTTCTTTGTATGATAAGTGTAGGCATATGCAAGTTCCAAACCCCAATCCTAAGTAAAGATAAATAAGTAGGAAGCCATGAACGACTTAAAATGCCTCTGGTAAATATTTGGCCTAGAAGCTGAAATGCAAACGCTAAACAATGTCTCTTTCCTGAACGAAAAACGCCATTGAAGGTTGGCATCGTATTAAGGTCATCGATGAAAAGATCAATTTCCCTTCATTTTTCAGGATAGTCCACGTTTTCTCTTTGTTGCCTCAGTTGACAGTGGGTTTGTCCATTCTCGGCCCCAGCCACATCGGCGAGACTGACACCAGACCAACAACATACCGAACAGAATATTGTATTCCCCTGAATGGACACGACTCGGTCAGCCGTGTAGGTATGTGCTCGGTTTGACGGTAGGATCCATAGTTGGTGTGACTGAGGTGTGTTAAATTCATACATTCATTTGTGAACTATGATAACCTTACAGAATCGTTTGCAAATCATATCGCGTTCAATAGTTTTCATGTTTACCCTCATTTTAACGATTGTTTATTCGGTTGATTGGCTTTTGAAATCAAGCTATACAGACCATTTTCAGTGGCAGAGATTTCATTTCATTTGATTTCATTTCAGCGCGGAGACATCCTTCTTCAGAGTTTCTTCTGCAAGCCCCTGCATGACTTAAAACGCATACATAATTTACATTAGAAAATATAATACATATAAAAGAACTAATATACATGCCAGTAATGATATAGTTAAAATTATTGATGGAGGGTGCATCTCTGAGCTGGAGAAGAAATGCATTCCATAGTGAGGGTGCTGGAAGCATGTTCCCCGTAGTATATCTGGTACTAACTCTGGGAGTTTAGAGGAGATTCATGTCTTATGAGCGTAGTTTCCTAACTGGGATATATAGTTTGATGATGTCCGATAAGTATGATGGAGCTTTAAGCTTATAATGAAAAAACGGGAATTAAAAAAAAAAACGAATTGAAACATCACATATGAATTGGCAGGCCAAATGAGTATCCCGGCACGCACCGGTACAACGCACCCCACCCCCGGCGTTTGAAGGCTCAGAAAAAAAAGTCAAATCAATATTATATGTACAAATATGGATTATAAACATTCATGAACAAGGTATGAATACAAATTCTTACTTTTTACAAGTACACTAATCTTCATCTATACTATACTAGTAAATATTGCTACATTAAATAAGTGCTAATAATTATACATCATATTCATCTCCTGATTATAATTACTCTTTACTTGAATTAAAATCACAGCGTATAAGTGATAGTACAGCTTCAATCCAACTTTCCCTTCTCCATATTTTCACGAAAAGTAAAATGCATAACTTACAATGGGCAGGCATATGGCTTGTGGAGACAAGACTAAACGTCGCTGATATTGTACAATATATTTTCTTGTCACGAAACCCTTCAATTCTACTGGAATACTAATCTTTTAAAATAAAAAACAAAAATTATATTACTCTTCCACAAAGAGTAAGAGATGTGAATGGAAATTATTTCATCTACGATTCATCAATAGAATACGAAGCGGTGTAAACAAAGGATTCAGCGTTCCAAAAATATTGGAGGAATTTGGGACAGGGCCTAAATAAAAAAAAGAAAGAAAGCTAATACAATCTTTACAAAGAAAATTCTGTTGGCCTTTGGCCAAAGAAACGCAATCTTCCGAGAAAGAAAAAATAGTATGAATATTTGAGAATAAACCCCTGATTTAACAAATGAAAAAGAAAAATAGAGCAAGGATTATTAAAAAGAGCATGCTGCATAAGAAGTCGTAGGAAT